GGACCCACAGGAGAACCCTTGGGTTCCTCTTGGCCCAACTTCTGGTCTCAGCACTCATGGTGCAGGCAGAGTGCGGGCAGAGCACAGTGGGGTGCAGGGGGGCAGATGTACCCCCCCCAGGACAGGTCAAACTGGGAAGGACCCTCTGGGTGCTGGTGCCCAGGGTTGGACCTTGCACTTTGGTGCACGTGAGGCAGGACATGAAAGGGCAGCGGCCGGAGATGGAAGTTGATCTGGAGGCAGAAGAGGAAGATGAAAGGTCTCAAAATTAGGGAGATGCTCTGGCATGGAGGAGGGTCTCCTTCAGCCTGTGGCTCTGCTCCCTCTGTCTCGGGGTGATGCTGTCCCCAGCCAGGAAGGGGACTGTGGTCAGGCTGAAACAGAGCCTTGTCCCACCCACGGTCACAGCTGCCACCATTGAGAGGCTGCTCAGATGCTGCCCTCACACTAAACCAACACTGTCCTCTACCTGCCACCACCCAAGACGTGAAGATGTTTTATAGCTTCACAAGGGCCCATGGGGCTGCACAACCAAAACCCCAACCTCTGCCAGGACCCAGCTCCTGGGCCAACCTCTCCCCAAAACACTGGGGGAGATGCCCCATCCCCAAACCCTCTCTGTGCCTGAGATCTGGCGGGGTTGTGACAGTGGTGCAGCACCCGCTGCTGCTCTTCTCAAGGCTTCCTGTGGTTTTAAGGTGTTGGCTGCATCTGGGCTTGCTCTATCTCGAGATGAAAGGTGCCCCCTTGGGCTGCGTCCTCTCCCCGCTCACTCAGGGCTTGCAGGGTTTTTGTGGTGGCTCAGACCTGAGCTTTGAAGAAAAACAGATGATGTTTTGCAATCGACGGGGCCGCTCCCCTCCCTGCCTCTGTGATCTTATCACGAGCACCAGGAGCACCCACAGCCCTTGGGCACAGGGGGTGGCTGTGGTGGTGACGGTCCCCATCCCACAGCCTGTGGATCCTGGGGGTCCTGGTGGGGGTCTCCACGCTGGCACCCATCATACATGAGGCCACCAGCACAGCAAAGTCACTAGTGCAAACTGCAGCTGGAGGGACCAAGGGCTGCTGGAAGCTGCTCCCCGCTTGGCCTGGGGATGAGATGGCCTCATGGAGATGTTTGGTCCAGGCTGCCCATCAGTCCCCTTCCCTGGTGACCCCCGCGGTGGTGGCTGTTGAGCTGCTGCTCTCTGGCTCCTCCCTCACTTTGGTCTGGAACAGAGGAGGGGATGGAGGAACCCCTGCCCCAAACCTCTGCCAGCAAATCCCCTTTGTGTCCCCGCTCCTCGCAGCGATGCTGCCCACAGCCCCCATCCCACCAGGGCTCACTGGGTGCTGAGCTCGGGCAATGCCGCGGTTTGGAGGAGCATCATCCTCTTATTAGGAAGAAGTTCTTCACTGTGAGGGTGGTGAGACAGTGTCCCAGGTTGCCCAGAGAAGCTGTGGCTGCTCCTCCCTTGAAGTGTTCGCGGCCAGGTTGGATGAGGCTTTGAGCAACCTGGTCTAGTGGAAGGTGTCCCTGCTGCTGGCAGGGGGGTTGGGACTGGATGAGCTTTAAGGTCCCTTCCAACCCAAACCAGTCTGGGATTCTATGATTCTATGATCCTTCCTACAAGTCTTTTACCAGCTCAGTGAGCCCTGAGCTCATGAACCCCCTGTGCCACCCCTTGGGACATGCTGGGGAAAGCCAGGCAGAGCTCATGGTCCCAGAAACAACCCCGGCCCTGCAGATATCACAGACAAAACCTCCATTTCAAGCGAGCTGGTGTTTTCTCTGCAGCTCTGCTGCATCAGGTGCCCCAGCTGAGCCAGGAAAGCCCCTAACCTGTGCCCAGAGGAAGAGGAGGAGTGACGAAGGCATGTGCTCACTGTTGACAGCTCTGAGCACTCATTTGACTAAAGGAGAAATTCCAGGTGTCAGCTCAAAAACAACAAGTTTGCAAGACAGAAAATGCTTCTATTTGCCTTAATTTGGTGCCATAACCAACCATAACCATAACCAACCCCATAACCAACCATAACCATAACCAACCATAACCAACCATAACCATAACCAACCAGCCACGTGAGCCCAGGGTGACCGTGCCGGAGGGCTCCGGGTGATGGAGGTGAACTGAGGTGCCAGACTCCCCACAGGCTCCTCTCCACCTCAAGGTTTTGCCCAGGTTGGGTTGAAGCTGGGAGGCTCCCGGTGTCACCGACAGCTCCCTGGGTGACGTTGGGTGAACAGCTGAGCCCACCTGTGTTTTTCCAGGTGGCTTTTCTAGGGGTTTCTTAGGATGGAGAGGAGGAAGAGGAGGGGAAGGCAAGAAAAAGGGTCATAAACAATAAACAGAAGAGGAGAAGCTCCCTGGATGGTTTCAGGCTGCGTGAGCAGCTCCCATCTCCCCTGGACCCTCTAAGCTGACCCAGGTCCCTGTGTCCCAAAGGAACAACAACGATGGGACAACGAAGCCAAAAGCCCCTTTGCCAGCTATGGGGGTCAAGTGGCACTGGGGGATTGGGGGGATGTGGATGGTATTTTGGGTTGCAAAGCCCAGCAGCCTGGAGAGGAGGGTGGTGGCCAAGAGGAGCAGCACGATGCTGCCGAGCTCCTCCACGCTCCATGACTGTCCCTCCGTCCCCCATCACGATGGGGTTGGTTGGGCCCAGCAGCCAAGGGTGGGTGCAGGGAGCTGTGAAAATCAGGGGCAGACATGAGGGTGTGAAGGTGTCAGGGTCCAGAGGCCTGAAATCTTGAGACCCAAGAGGAAAATGAAGCAAAAGAGGAAGAGGAGAAAAGGGAAATGGAAAGAGTAAGAGGCTGGGGGTGACGGAGGAGAAGTGAAATCGGTGCCGGGAGCACTGGGGTGAAAGCGGAACCACGGGGGCTGTGGGATGGGCAGGTCAGAGAATCATCACAGAAACACAGACTGGTCTGTCTGGGTTGGGAGGGCCCTTAAAGCTCATCCAGTCCCACCCCCCCTGCCAGCAGCAGGGACACCTTCCACTAGACCAGGTTGCTCAAAGCCTCATCCAACCTGGCCAAGAACACTTCCAGGGAGGGGGCATCCACAGCTTCTCTGGCCAACCTGGGACACTGTCTCACCACCCTCACACCAAAGAATTTCTTCCTCACATCTCAGCTCCATCTCCCCTCTGCCACTTTCAAGCCATCACCCCTTGTTCTGTCACTCCCTGCCCTTGGCCAAAGTCCCTCCCCAGCCTTCCTGGAGCCCCTTCAGGTACTGGGAGGCCACTGGAAGGTCTCCCCGGAGCCTTCTCTTCTCCAGGCTGAACAGCCCCAACTCTCTCAGCCTGTCCTCACAGCAGAGCTGCTCCAGCCCTCGCATCATCCTCCTCTGGTGGCCTCCTCTGCACTGGCTCCAGTAGCTCCATGTCCTTATGCTGTTGGTGTCCCCAGCACTGGAGGCAGCACTGCAGGTGGGGTCTGAGGAGAGCGGAGCAGAGGGGCAGAAACCCCTCCCTCGACCTCCTGGCCCATGAGATGTCCCCTCACAGGCTCTGCCCCAGGGGCCACACATGCAGCGTGGCTGCGTTCAGCGAGTTTCTCCTACAGCATCGAGGACAAGGGACCTCTCAGTAGCTTTCTTTTTGCATGGTGGGATCCTATTCATCCCTCCCAGCCCGGGGCTGGTTTTAGCTCAACCAGGGCTTAAATCACAGCCCATTTTTCCTGCTGCCCCAGAGGACAGAGCCCAGAGAGTTGGGGGGCAGCTGGGGAGCAAGGTGCTGGCATCTCCCTGGGCAGGGAGGAGGGGGCGAGGGGGGGCACAGTCCCACCTCTGCCCCAGTGCAAAGGGGATGTGGGGGCACACAGGATGCTCAGTGCCAGGGACTCCCCCACCAGCTGCAGTCTTTGCCCTTCCCCCAGGTTATTTTTGCCACCCCTTTGACTCAGAAGCAGAACCTGGGCAGCAGTTGCTTCGTTAGTCCCTCGTTAGCTCCGTAATGAGCAGGGGTGAGGTTATAAACGTGCCCCTCTGCTCCTCTCTGGGGTTCCTGCAGTGGGGCAGGATCTGGCCAGAGGGATGGGGTGAGTCCAGGTGCAGCAGCACTGGGATTTGGAGCTTTGCAAATTCCCAAAGTAGCCAAAAAACCCTCTTTGCACCACCCAAAGGTGCCTGGTTTGGAGCCACAGCTGGGGTGGGACCAGCTCTAGTTACCAGTAGCTGTGGGGGGAGCTGGGGCTGGATCCAGACCTGGAGCCCTGTTCCTGGTGGTGGTGGTCTCGGTGCAGTCGCTGTGACCCTCTCCCCACAGGGCAGCAAGGAACGCTTCCACTGGCAGAGCCACAATGTCAAGCAGAGTGGTGTGGATGACATGGTCCTGCTCTCCAAGATCTCCGAGGAGGCCATCGTGGAGAACCTCAAGAAGCGTTTTATGGATGATTACATCTTTGTATCCTTCCCAGGGCAGTGGGACGGGGCTGGGGAGCAGCGGGGCTGTGCTCCAAGGCTTTGCCAGGGTGTGGGCCAAACTGGGGCTGCCCCAGTGCTTGTAGAGTGTCCCATCCCCACGCTGTGGTGGGACAAGATTGGGATCAGCTGGGGGAATGCCACCATTCCCAAGCTGAGTTGTGCTCAGTGGAGATGCTGGAACTGTGTTCCCCATCCTGCCATGTCCTGGGACCCACATTGGTCCTTCCTTTGTGGTCACAAAGCCTGAAGCAAAGAGCACTGAGCAAAGCTCCTCATCTGCTGTGTCCCATTGCTCCTGCACACTGGAGACCTCCCACCAAGAGGGATTGACCCCAGTGGCTTTAGTGGCATCATCAACCAAACCCCTCCAATGCCCACAGTGTGTCCTGGCTCCTCTGCACCCACAGCAAACCCTGGATGGAGTGGGAGCATCCTGGCAGGCACAGGGAGGAGGTGCCACCCATGTCATTCCACATGGGACCCAAAGCTCCCACCGTGCCTGATGTTGGGAGTCACAGTCCAGAGGTTTTTCCAGTTGCTGGCTCCCATCACAGTCACAGAATCACAGAATCCCAGACTGGTGGGGTTGGAAGGGACCTCAGGAGATCATCCAGTCCAACCCCCCTGTCAAAGGAGGGTCCCTACACCAGGTTGCACAGGAAAGTGTCCAGGTGGGTTGGAACATCTCCAGAGATGGAGACTCCACACCCTCTCTGGGCAGCCTGTCCCAGGGCTCCAGCACCCTCACAGTGGAGAAGTTTTTCCTTAAGTTTGTCTGGAACCTCTGATTTCCCAGTTTGTGCCCATTGCCCCTTGACTGCTGGGCACCATGCACAAGGCTGGGTGGCTGTGGGGTGGTGTCCTGATGTCCCCACACTCATGATTCAAGATGCTGAGCCCTTCCCTCACTCACCCCACAATCACTTGGAGCTGCCAACAGCTCAGCACCCCGACACCATCACACTCGCTTCACCTGCAGCCCAGCTCTGGTGGGTGACAGGCTCTGGTGGGGAAGGGGACAGGGTCCCCCTGGTGCTGAGCGGGGCTGAGCCTTGCTCACTCACCCCACTGCAAGCGGCTGTGGTTTCCCTGAAGATGCTGCTCTGTCCTTACAAGGCGATGCCGAGTCCTCGCCGGCGGTGACGCAGCCGCCCTCCGCTCTGTCAGCAGCCCTGGGCTTTTTACATGTGTTTAAGGCTTTGGTTTGGGGATGGTTTATTTTTGGTTTTGTTTTTTTTTTCTTCTTCTGAAGAAAAAAATACCCCACGCAGCCTCTTTCTTCCTTTTTCTTGGTGTGGTGCTGAGCGCAGGGCCCCATCCAGCCGTGACTCAACACCCAACGCTTCTGCATTTCCCAGAACAGCCCCTCTCGTCCCGCCCGACACCTCCAGGGTGGGTTGAATATTCAATTTTACCTCTTTTTTAAAAAAAATGGCCTGAAAAAAGGACATTGAAGGTTTAGGGTGACGCCGCTGGCACCACTTCATCCCCAACCTCCTCAGCACCAGCTCCAGGGTGCTGGGGGCTCATCCCCATCCTGCTGCTCCATCATTTCCAGGTGCAATTCCCAGTTTTTCCGTTCCCCTGCCCACAGCCGGGTGACTCGAGGAGGCTGCAGGCAGGGCTGAGGGATGTGGAGTGGCTGGGAAAGGCAGAAGCTGGTGGTTTCTGCCCTCTCCGTGCCTCAGTTTCCCTGGTTGTACCATGGAGATCATCTACTGCTGCACAAGCCACAGATGGAGCGTGAGCAGAAGGTGAATTCCAGGAGGCTGCAGGATGCTGGAACTGCTGCTTCTGGAGCTCATCCTCAAGCAGAGACCAGGGGAAATGACAGGAAGATGTGGCAGGGGAGGGTGAGGTTGGCCATGAGGAAAAGGTTCTTGAGGCAGAGGGTGGTGGAGCACTGGAACAGGCTCCCCAGGGAGGTGCTGATGGCACCAAGCCTGACAAGATTCCAGCAGCATTTGGCCAAGGCCCTCAGGGACATGGTGTGAATGTTGGGATTGTCCTGTGCAGGGACAGGAGTTGGACTCCTTCATCCTGGTGGGTCCCTCCCAACTCACCACATTCCATGACTCTATGATGCTCCCGCTGTTCCCTGCACTGATCACGCTGCGGGGACACCCTGGGGACAAGGGAGTGAAGGACTTTGTGGAGAGCATCAAGTCACAGCAGCAGCTCTGCTGGCCCCTGCGCTGTGAACACTCCTGGTGCAGCTTCTAGGATGAGGCAGGGACCCCCACCACCCACTTTCCTGTCATCACTCTCTGGAGAAGGGAAGGAACATGGGAAGGGGGGGACATGGAAAAGGACACCCAGACCTTGACCTGTCACTCAGACCTACATCGGACCAGTGCTCATCTCCGTCAACCCCTTCAAGCAGATGCCGTATTTCACCGACCGCGAGATCGAGATGTACCAGGGGGCGGTGAGGCTGCTGGGTGCTGGCTGGTGGGGTCAACCAAGGGGTCATTGGGTTTAATTTGGTGCAAAACACCTTGGGAAGGGGTGTCCCATGAGTGTCCTCACCATCCCCCACCACCTTTGGGTGCTGCAGGGGTTGGTGCTGCCAAACATCTTGATGGAGAGTCAGTGATGATGAGACTTGTGAGGAAATTCACATTCCTGGGAAATTCAGCTCATAAATACACCCCAAACCAACCCAAAGGGGGTCAAATCCAGCCCGAGGGACTCGCTCTGCTCCAAGGAGCTTCCCAAGGAGGAGGGAAGAGTCAAAAACCCATCTGATGAGCTCATGGTGGTGGCCAGGGACTGATGCCCCATCCCTGCCCTGTGCCACTGCCCCGTGTGACACACGGGTGGGGTGAAGGGGGCTTGGGGAGGGGCTCAGGGTGGGGAGCTGATGGCTGCTCTGTGCTCAGCACTGCTCTCCTTGTCACCCCGTTTTTAGGCTCAGTATGAGAATCCCCCCCATATCTATGCCCTGACCGACAACATGTACCGCAACATGCTGATCGACGGGGAGAACCAGTGCGTCATCATCAGGTACTGGGGGGTGCAGCTGGGGACCCTGTGACACTGCCCCGGGGCTGGCTGCCCCCCTCACCCCCTCTCCCCACGTCCTGGGGGGGACATCCCAGCTAAACGAGGCAGCTGGGAAGTGGCAAGAGGTGGTGGTGGTGGGTCACAGAATCCCAGAATCACCTCGGTTGGAAAAGTCCTTAAAGATCATTGAGTCCCATCATGAACCCAACACTGACCAGTCCCCGACTAACCCATGTCCCTCAGCACTGTGTCTACACGACTCTTCAATCCCTCCAGGGATGGGGACTCCACCACTGCCCTGGGCAACCCCTTCCAATGCCTCACAACCCTTTCAGCAAAGAAATTCTTCCTCACATCCCATCTCAACTGCCCTTGGTGCAACTTGAGGCCATTTCCTGGGGGACCCATCTCATGGGGGTGCATGGGGGGGACCCCAACGTCCTGGGCTGTGACTGGGTTGTCCCAGGCAGGGTAAGAACCTTGTGCAATGCACCTTTCCGGCTGAGTGTTGCAAGGAGGATGGTCAGGATGTGGGGCAAGGCTGGAGACTTCCCCCCCCTGGGGTTCCCAAGTCTCCCTCCTCCCCTTCAAAATTCAGCAACAAGAAATCCAACATCTCCTCCTGGAGCAGCTCCTCACCCAGCCTTGCTCCAGCCCCCTTCTACACCAGATCACCCTCAGAGCTCTCAGGCAGCTCCATCCCCAGAGTCCACATGCTCAGAATGCTCAGCAAGAGGGAGGTCACAGCCCCCATCACTCGCTGTCACCCCCCCGTCTCTGCTCCAGTGTCCCACCCTGAAGCACCCCAGGATGGGCAGCTCTGGTGGGGCCGTTTCACATCTCCTCTGCTTTGACATTCACACAGTGGAGAAAGCGGGGCTGGGAAAACGGTGGCAGCGAAATACATCATGGGCTACATCTCCAAAGTGTCCGGGGGTGGTGAGAAGGTGCAGGTATGGCTCTGTGTGTGTCCCCAACATCTCCATCACCCCCCCAATCGCTCCCCCCTCATCTGATGGTGGCACACGGAGCA